GTGGTGAGGAGGGACTGAGGAGCTGTTCTTGTACTTTGACATATAACAAAAAAGAAAATCGAAATCAGTGCACATCAGAACTTGAAACTTCTAATGCCTTTCAACTTAATATAAGTTACAGAGAATAAAAGAAACAATTGTTTAATCCTGTAATATAAATAAATCAATTTAGTTCAGCCTCTTGATGTGTGTCAAAGCTTTGCATAAATCTCAGGCTGAGGAGCCACAACTATCAGGACATTAAGTACATCAGAGCTTTGTTTATGTGTGTCCAAAGAGCAAAATAAACCTACCGCAAGTGACAATCCAGAACAGTCATGAGACACAACATAGATAAGGAGAACATAGAAGGAAGAAATAAAAATTAAAACATCCACACACAAATATTAGTAAAACCATGGAGAAATGACCTTTTACATATATTCTGATTTTCTGCTGAATCCCTTAACACACTTAAGACCTATAATCTCTAACCTTTATTTTAAAGAAATCTTTTCCTATGAATGGATTTCCTTAGATACATAATGATATATATTATATGGATAATATAAATATGATGTACCTGGAAGTAAATCTTATTTATTATTGCAAACAGTAGAATGAACATCAAAATAAGCTATACTAGAGTAGGGTGGTGAGATTCAAAGAGGGGCATGCATTTGAAACCTTTAATAATTGTAAGGAAAATATAAAGTAACCTTCAAAGGAGCTTAACTCATGATGGCTTCACTTTCTTGGCAATAGTGTGAAAATGGTTCGCCATTGCCTTCTTCTGGGGTGCCTTTTTTCCACTTCCCAGTCTAAGGTACCATCCCATCCATGTAATAACCAAGACTGACACCTAGCTAGTAGACCTTAGCTAGTGTTGACTAATTGATGCCATCTGACTGGGGTTAATGGTTGGTTAGAAGAGGGAATCTCAGTAGATCTACAGAATTGTACTTCCTGAATGGTACAGAGGTTCTGAACTCTTTTGCAACTGGCAGTGAGGCTTATTTCTGAATAAGCAGGTATAAGGTAAATCTAATCACGATACCCTTGGTTCTAAATTATATTCGTGCATTCTAAATACTGTAGTCTATTTACATGGACCTATAAAAAGTATCCTTTGATTTAGTGACAGCTCTCATTGTGTAAAAGATAGAACACATTTTTTCCTGCATCCTCAAGAACAGTCATCCCAAATCAGATGCCTTCAAGAAAGAATGAACTTAAAATTGCGTGAACCTCACACAAGATGACCAATAAGGAAAAGGCTACTCTGAAACTCACTTAGTAAGATGGAGTTATCAACAGACTTCAGTAGAAAAAAGGTTCCTGCTGACCGACATGTAGATTATGAAACAGGCTACTATAGTTAAAAAATATTATAAGGCTGTTACACTTCTTTTTCCTGTTACTGAATTAGTCTTCTGGTCAGCTATGATTTTTTTCTATGCCTATTGTTTTCTTCTTTTTTAACTGTAAGCTGCCCAGAATTGCTAAATAACTTTTTGGTCATTTATCCAGATCTCAACAAATATAATGGAACACATTTAATAATATATCATAGAAAAATGCTTGATTAAAAACACACAACAAACTGCACAAAATATAACAACAAAATACACTCAGTTTGTCCTACAAAAAAACAACAGATGGTTATCATTAGAATCGGTACCAATATGCAAAGTGCCTTTTCTATAGATCCCTAAAAGAGCAGTTTCAGATTATTTCTGTGTACTAGTGAAAGACTTTTGATTTCAGCTACCCTAACTGATCAGCAATTAAAAAGAGTGAGTCACAATTAGCATGTATATTAGAAACAAATCTTTGCTCTTGCCAGAATGGATGTCTACTAAATCAGTTTTGAACTGTAACTCATTGGTTAAAGTGGGTCTTGAATTTTAATATTCTCAGTGATCAGCCTAGTGATTTTAGAATTCTCAGCTGAAATGAAAACCTGTGTAATAATGCAACTGACTAGTGCAGGTTGCAGAGGAATTAGATGTTTTAAGAATCTTACTCCATTTTCCTAGGTAGCAGGAAATTCACATAAAGATATGGTGAATTTCTTGAAATGCTCTTTCACATTATTCATTGTTCTAATAAGATTCAGAAAATATAACCTGCAACTTGGTGACCACCTGATGTTTTGGGACTGTAGCACCCAAAATTGCCAGACACCAAAGCCAAAGGCAATGTTAACTTGGAATTCAAGGAATTAGAATCACAATGCATCTCGAGGGCAACTGGAAGGAAAATGATGCTCCAGTGCAGTAACATAACTGAATTATAGAATCATGGAGTTGGAAAGGACTTCAGGAGTCTTCTAGTCCATAACGGAAGAGAAAGAGGAGAGATCAACAGTGGCAGTTCTGCATTTATTTTATTAGCTACTTGTGCATTGAGTCAAGTCCAATACAAACTGTTAAACAACATAAATGATTATAATGTCAGTTCCAGAGTGATTGAAGGATTTGTATCAGTGCAGTTTAGATATATTTTTGACTTAATTAGTATAAATGTGTACCTTTGAGGAATATCTAACATTTTAAAATCTCAGGGACAAAGGGAGAGGCCTTTGGCAAAATCTGACTCATGATCCATTATCTCAGTTTTGTCCGTGTCAAGAGTGAGAAGAAAATAGAAGGGCCTACTGGAAATATGAAACCAACTCTACCATCAGGTAGAAAGAGACTTTCTCCAGGAAAGTGATTTGGGTTTTTTAAAAAAAATCAATACATCACCAGTTATTTCATTTATTATTGTTGATTTCTACACCCAGGGGCAGATGCTTGAGGGAGTTTCTACCTTCGGTGCTGAGATAACTTACATGATGATCAAGGTAATTGAGTCATATTTACTACTTTGCTCAAGCAGCAAATGGTTTTGGCTAATCCTTAGATAAAAAGGAATCTTTCCTTAAAGTTATCCAGGTTGGTTGGGTTCTATTTTAATCATAGAGCTAAGTAATAAAGTTCTAACCTCTTCAGGTTTCTACTAATATGTTATTAGAGTATATATAATGATAAAAAAGGAATATACAAACCACCATGCATTTTGCCTATAATATATTAGACACAGATACAGAAAAGGGAACATTGGCCAAATTCATCACCTCCTCTGTATATACCATCTATAACAAGAGATTTCTGTCCTCCTGAAACAAGAAGCGCTTAATACAAGAGTATATTGAAACTTAGTGAGCTAAAACTACAGTTATCTTTCATCTTTCTCAGACATGGTGTTCTTAATTCTTCATATTGGCTAGTTCAGCTTTCTTTAGTCTCTATTCTGCTATTCATTTGTTCTTCAGTTGCAATAACTCTCCTTTAGAATACAGGTTTTGTCAACTTTATAGAGCATTTCTGTTTTCTGGAAAATTCAGTACACTCTTGCTTGACAAATCAAAAGATGAATTTACAAGACACCAGCATTCTCATTTTACTAGGACGAAGGGGGCTGTTATAAGGACACTCATGTACCAGCCACAATAGAATTATCAGTAACTAGCAGAATTAGAAACTTAAGGGCTGCTGCTTTATTCATATACCAGTGATACCAATTGATTACAGACAGCTATTTTTCATACCCTTCCTCTTCCATCAGATAATGAAGATCTGACATAAGAGGAGTAACTTTTGTCATTCAGATTCCGGTATAGGGGAATCATTACTTCAAAAAGAAGAGAAAAAATATCAAAATTTCTGATCAAAAAGCTTACTCATAATCTGGTGTTAATGAGATGGACTGAGGTTAACTTGTGATAAAGAAATGGCAGTCCCAATAAATGTGTAGGGACACTAACACTGCTTTTTCCAAAGAATCCTGAACCTGCAATTTTGTAAATACACAGAGAATGCTTTCTCAGATATTACTAACCCATTCAACATAATAATTACTAATGTTCTTTGGCTAATAGCCAAGATCATTCAAGAGTATTGAACTTGGGCTATAGCTTGCCACAAATAGTCCTGAAGAGTCAGAAAAGTGGGCCACATAAGGAATAGCAGATTATCTTGTATATGTGCTCTAGGTACCAATTAGGTGGTTCTCATTTCTAATTAAACATGCATATAAAAGAATAAATCAATCCAGAGTTCTCACTC